TGTCTGTGTAAGCAAACACGTGTACATGGACTTATGCGTGGGTATGTGCGAAAGTATCTGTGTAAGCAAACACGTGTACATGGACTCATACTTGGGCGTGTGCTAAAGTGTCTGTGTAAGCAAATACGTGTACATGGACTCATACTTGGGCGTGTGCGAAAGTGTGTCTGTAAGCAAACACGTATACATGGATTCCGGCTTAGGCGTTTGCGAAAGTGTGTGTGTATGCAAACAAGTGTGTGTGTGTATGCAAACAAGTGTGTGTGTATGCAAACAAGTGTGTGTGTATGCAAACAAGTGTGTGTGTATGCAAACAAGTGTGTGTGTATTCAAACAAGTGTGTGTGTGTGCAAACAAGTGTGTGTGTGCAAACAAGAGTGTGTGTGCAAACAAGTGTGTGTGTGCAAACAAGTGTGTGTGTGCAAACAAGTGTGTGTGTATGCAAACAAGTGTGCGTGTATTCACTATGGGCCTGCAGTCATGTATGTTGTGTGTGAGTTTATATATATATATATATATATATATGTTTGTGTGTATAATTGTAAATATATGTTTGTATGTGTGTGTGGTTGTGTTTAGTATACACCAGCCCCCTATCCAGCAGCCCTTACTAGGCTGCCGCTCCAAGCCACACGTTTTGTTGCAATGTTCATTTCTTAGCCGACGTAATTGGCACAAAGAAGCAAAACCACAATTATAACCGAAAATGCTCGCAGTAGGTTGAACGTAGAAGGAGGAGGTGACGTTATTGTTTGGAAGGAGGGTTCCCTTGCAATAAAACTTCAGTAATCTGTAATCCTGTTTCTTCGGTATTTTCAGTTTTTCCGCCTCGTTTCGCTGCTCGGACCAGACTGAGGGTCATCACGTTTGACTTTGACTAAGAATATGTCCCAGGAAACTTGCTTCAGAAACTGACATCGTGGCATCATTCCAGACAATGTTGTTGCCGCTTGTTTGGGTTTTGTTGGATGGTGCTTCTCTGAATAGTCATTGAAATGTATTCTTGGCTTTATCTCGGCAGAAGTCAACACCAAACCCATGTCGTGACTAATTGTGGCTCATACAAGTTCTAGCACGCAGAACGTATTTCACACAAAGATCGTGTACGAAGCAAAAGTGTTAAGAACATATACGTAAGTATAAGTAGAACATATACCAAAGCGAACGCATACCGAGCTACCATATTAAAACTACTCATATGTGACGGATCACAAACACCCAGTGACCTAGATTGAAACTGGTGCAAAACGTGCAGACAAAGTTCAATTGTCGGACTTCCCACTGTCATGCCACACTGACTTTTATAACGCTCACCCAACCGTGCAGAGACGTCGGATATCTTGGAGAATTTATCGAAGTGAATCACAGATAGCGCGGCAAGTTCATTTTTGGGATGGTGCACATTTAACCACCACACACAGCAAAGAAACAGATGGACTTCCTACCAACTGGAGGTAAGCTATAGGTCAGTGATCGTCGCTTGGATGTATTTGTTCATCACTTAACTTCTGTCTCTGTGTGTGTTGTACTGATGGCAAGTGGGGGGGGGGGGGGGGGGGGGGGGGGGGGGGAGAGAAGGGTGTCGTTAGTTGTTTTATCTTGCATCAACATCAATGACAACACAACTGGATTCTCTACCACTGACTGACTGACTGACTGACTGCTCTGTCAACCTAAGATCCATTGCAAAGATCAAAAACTACCCCGCGTTGTGGTGACCATGGTTGGTTGGTTGGTTGATTGATTCAGAGCTTTCTAAAGGGTGTGTGATTAATTGCTCTGTCACTGATTAATAGCCGGTTGTTTGATTCACTGCTGGTTGTTTTATTAATTGCCGGTTATTTGATTAATTGCTGGGTGTCTCGTTAATTGTTGGCAGTTTGAATAAAAAGTGGTAAGTTTATTAATTGCTGTGTGGTTGATTTATTGCTGGTTCGTTAATTATTTGCTGATTTGTTGAATTTTGCAGGCTGTTGATTAATTGCTGTTTGTGAATTAATTGCTGGGTTGTTGACGAATTATTAGAGGGTTTAATAATTCAAAGTTGGATGCGTGATTGATTATTTGCTTCTGAGTTTAGTTGTCGGTTAATTGTTGTGTGGTTGATTGATTGATTGCTGTTTAATTGACTTGGTGTTGAATTGCTGTCTAGTTCATTAGTTAATTAATTTCTGGATGGCTGGTAATATATTGATTGACAGGTGGCTGGTTGGTTCATTAATTGGTGTTGGGTTGATCACTTTCAGAGTGTCTGATTGGTTGATTAATTGCTTTTAGTTGATTTGTTTATTAAAAGCTGGTTAGTTTATTGGCTGATTTCTAGTTAGACTGGTTGATAAAAAGCTGATTCGTTAGCTGATTGATTCATTGCTAAACGGTGGATTGATTGGCTGAATAAATAATGTGTGATAGTTAACTAATTTGTTAATTGATTTACTGATTGATTAACTTGCTTGATTGTCGGCTGGTTGTTCAATTAGTAGACCATACAACTGATTTACTGATTGATTAACTTGCTTGATGGTTGGTTGGTTGTTCAATTAGTAGACCATACAACTGATTTACTGATTGATTAACTTGCTTGATTGTCGGCTGGTTGTTCAATTAATAGACCATACAATCGATTTACTTAAACAAGGCTGAACCCTAGTCCACTGGAGAACTATGTTTTTTGTGGTAGCTTGATGACGCCGTTTTTATTTAGTGAGGCAATTCAATGTGCTTTATATATATATATATATATATATATATATATATATATATATATATATATTATATATATATATATATATATATATATATATATATATATACACACACACACATTGATATCTTCCCAATAACGGTCCCAAATTATCGAGGCAGAAATTATGCCCTAACAGGGCCTCAGTCACGTGTCAATTGCACACTTCCGGCGACTTAAATTGTGGCGTGGTTTGGGGCTAAACTAGATGCTGGGACTCACGAGCAGCACTACCGCTTTTTCTGCAGCTGCCTTGATTATTTGCTCATGTCCCAGCCATCTAGTTTAGCCCCAATCCACGCCGTGTGAGCGGCGTATGGATACCTGCGGCGGTGGCGGTATAGTCCCCGGAAGTTCGCAATTGACACGTGACTGAGGCCATGTTAGGGTATGTTTTCTGCCTCGATAATTTGGGACCGTTTTTCGGAAGATCACCTTTACATATATTTATATTTATATATATATGTGTGTGTGTATGTGTGTAAATGATAATGTTGCTTTCAAAATATGGAAGCAACAATAGTGAGAGCATCCGCCACAAAAGGGTGGGGGGGGGGGGTGTAGACCTCAAGAAGAGACACATCTTTCACACATTAAAACCTCTTCCAGGTGTGATGAAAGCAGACACGGTCCGTGAGTACAAGAAGAAGTGCCTCCAACAATATGGTGCTGTTTGGAAAATCCAAGGCTAAGCGCGTGTGTGACCTCCTGCTCATGCTGACCTTTCTTGGGAACATGACCTATTTCGTTTACTATGGAGGATTTCTGTCCAAGTCTTGGAGAGATGGCAGTGGTGAGTCAGGCCTGTGTGTTAGCGTCAGGTTGTGGAAGTCTGTAGTTGTTGGTTCTCTTGTTGCTTGGTGTCTAGTCTCAAAATAAACATCTGTCGTGCACTACACTATAGTTTTGAGAAGCTTTCATGCTGACAGCTCCATTTCAATCATTCTTTGGTCATGGCGCTGGAAGCAACGACACGCACAAGTAATAAAACAACATCCAACTTTCTTCTCTTAGGGTCGTCAAGGGGCAAGTAGACCAATCTTACATACAGCCATCTAAATACTCTTCACATAGAGATTCTTTGTTTACCTTTCTACAGCCTAATTTGTTCCAAACCTATTGGTGTTACCTTTCCTTTGGAGTAAACAAGGCAGACCGAAAGGAATTATGCTGTGCTCGCAACAGATAGTCTCTACCTTACTTTCCAGACCTTGTGTTATCGAGAGAAGGAACTTGATCCGGGGCATTACCTGGCCCATGGTGCTATTCACACTGGTAATCGTCATGGGCTGGGAGTTTCATGCCTTCCTAAAAACAGTTTCACAGAATCGTCTGGAAAGACGGAATGGTATACCATCTATTTAGTTGTTATCTATAAAGCAAGGCATATACATACAACAACATTTTTGTAGCGATAATATCCACCATGGCCCCCCCCCCCTTTTTTTTTTAAACACACACACGCACACTGGCAAAGGAATGGATGGTGGATGCAGATTTTTAAACACACACACGCACACTGGCAAAGGAATGGATGGTGGATGCAGATTTTTAAACACACATACACTCACACATGCATGCACACTCACACTGTCATACACACATTATCATACATACACTCATACATTCAACTCATAAGGATAAGCATACACTGACAACCTCATACACACACACATAAAATACACATTATACATATGTTCATATACATGTACGCATACATACAACACACAGGTTCATAAATATCATTGATATATAGATACACTCGCCATCGCCATCGAGACCCAGGCTTCCACATAGCACAATATAACACCACCGTCTAGGAAGATGCACATATGCCCATCTTTATGTAAATATACATTGTTGTCAAGTTAGCATCATCATACCCACTGAAGAGTTCACATACATGCATGCATTCACATACACTCAAATACGCACATTCCTACATATAGCTACACACACACATTAACATTCACACACAGTCACAAAGTCACACATCAATATACAAACATAGATACACAGTCACACTTTAACATACACACACAGACACATAGTCACACATTAACATAAAAACATAGACACACAGTCACACATTAACATACACGCAGAGACACACAGTCACGTACAAACACTCAAAAGTCAAAGGACTGAACCAGATTCCGTCCATGAGATTGAAACAGCAGCACAAGATAGAACTAGATAATCAAATAGACTGCCTGTCCTCTTGACTAGTGACAGAACCAGTGGTTGATGATGATGATCAATTAACCACCAGCTGGTCAGCTGTGTTGAACAAATATCCCTGTGTGACGTCAGCTGTGTTGAACAAATATCCCTGTGTGACGTCAGCTGTGTTGAACAAATATCCCTGTGTGACGTCAGCTGTGTTGAACAAATATCCCTGTGTGACGTCAGCTGTGTTGAACAAATATCCCTGTGTGACGTCAGCTGTGTTGAACAAATATCCCTGTGTGACGTCAGCTGTGTTGAACAAATATCCCTGTGTGACGTCAGCTGTGTTGAACAAATATCCCTGTGTGACGTCAGCTGTGTTGAACAAATATCCCTGTGTGACATCAGCTGTGTTGAACAAATATCCCTGTGTGACGTCAGCTGTGTTGAACAAATATCCCTGTGTGACGTCAGCTGTGTTGAACAAATATCCCTGTGTGACGTCAGCTGTGTTGAACAAATATCCCTGTGTAACGTCAGCTCTGTTGAACAAATATCCCTGTGTGACGTCAGCTGTGTTGAACAAATATCCCTGTGTAACGTCAGCTCTGTTGAACAAATATCCCTGTGTGACGTCAGCTGTGTTGAACAAAAATCCCTGTGTGACGTCAGCTGTGTTGAACAAATATCCCTGTGTGACGTCAGCTGTGTTGAACAAAAATCCCTGTGTAACGTCAGCTGTGTTGAACAAATATCCCTGTGTGACGTCAGCTGGCCAGCTGTGTTGAACAAATATCCCTGTGTGACGTCAGCTGGCCAGCTGTGTTGAACAAATATCCCTGTGTGACGTCAGCTGGCCAGCTGTGTTGAACAAATATCCCTGTGTGACGTCAGCTGTGTTGAACAAATATCCCTGTGTGACGTCAGCTGTGTTGAACAAATATCCCTGTGTGACGTCAGCTGTGTTGAACAAATATCCCTGTGTAACGTCAGCTCTGTTGAACAAATATCCCTGTGTGACGTCAGCTGTGTTGAACAAAAATCCCTGTGTGACGTCAGCTGTGTTGAACAAATATCCCTATGTGACGTCAGCTGGTCAGCTGTGTTGAACAAATATCCCTGTGTGACGTCAGCTGTGTTGAACAAATATCCCTGTGTGACGTCAACTGGTCAGCTGTGTTGAACAAATATTCCTGTGTGACGTCAGCTGGCCAGCTGTGTTGAACAAATATCCCTGTGTGACGTCAGCTGGCCAGCTGTGTTGAACAAATATCCCTGTGTGACGTCAGCTGGCCAGCTGTGTTGAACAAATATCACTGTGTGACGTCAGCTGTGTTGAACAAATATCCCTGTGTGACGTCAGCTGTGTTGAACAAATATCCTTCTGTGACGTCAGCTGTGTTGAACAAATATCCCTGTGTGACGTCAGCTGTGTTGAACAAATATCCCTGTGTAACGTCAGCTCTGTTGAACAAATATCCATGTGTGACGTCAGCTGTGTTGAACAAAAATCCCTGTGTGACGTCAGCTGTGTTGAACAAATATCCCTATGTGACGTCAGCTGGTCAGCTATGTTGAACAAATATCCCTGTGTGACATCAGCTGTGTTGAACAAATATCCCTGTGTGACGTCAGCTAGCCAGCTGTGTTGAACAAATATCCCTGTGTGACGTCAGCTGTGTTGAACAAATATCCCTGTGTGACGTCAGCTGTGTTGAACAAATATCCCAGTGTGACGTCAGCTGTGTTGAACAAATATCCCTGTGTGACGTCCGCTGTGTTTAACAAATATCTCTGTGTGATGTCATCTGTGTTGAACAAATATCCCTTTGTGACGTCAGCTGGTCAGCTGTGTTGAACAACTATCCCTGTGTGACGTCAGCTGTGTTGAACAAATATCCCTGTGTGACGTCGGCTGTGTTGAACAAATATCCCTGTGTGACGTCGGCTGTGTTGAACAAATATCACTGTGTGACGTCAGCTGTGTTGAACAAATATCCCTGTGTGACGTCAGCTGTGTTGAACAAATATCCCTGTGTGACGTCAGCTGTGTTGAACTTATATCCCTGTGTGACGTCAGCTGTGTTGGACAAATATCCCTGTGTGACGTCGGCTGTGTTGAACAAATATCCCTGTGTGACGTCAGCTGTGTTGAACAAATATCCCTGTGTGACGTCGGCTGTGTTGAACAAATATCCCTGTGTGACGTCAGCTGTGTTGAACAAATATCCCTGTGTGACGTCAGCTGTGTTGAACAAATATCCCTGTGTGACGTCAGCTGTGTTGAACAAATATCCCTGTGTGACGTCGGCTGTGTTGAACAAATATCCCTGTGTGACGTCAGCTGTGTTGAACAAATATCCCTGTGTGACGTCGGCTGTGTTGAACAAATATCCCTGTGTGACGTCAGCTGTGTTGAACAAATATCCCTGTGTGACGTCAGCTGTGTTGAACAAATATCCCTGTGTGACGTCAGCTGTGTTGAACAAAAATCCCTGTGTGACGTCAGCTGTGTTGAACAAATATCCCTGTGTGACGTCAGCTGTGTTGAACAAAAATCCCTGTGTGACGTCAGCTGTGTTGAACAAATATCCCTGTGTGACGTCGGCTGTGTTGAACAAATATCCCTGTGTGACGTCAGCTGTGTTGAACAAATATCCCTGTGTGACGTCAGCTGTGTTGAACAAATATCCCTGTGTGACGTCGGCTGTGTTGAACAAATATCCCTGTGTGACGTCAGCTGTGTTGAACAAATATCCCTGTGTGACGTCAGCTGTGTTGAACAAATATCCCTGTGTGACGTCGGCTGTGTTGAACAAATATCCCTGTGTGACGTCAGATGAGACCAGCAACTATGTGGACAGACACCGACGGTTGGACTTCACGGAGTTCCACGAGAGATTCCTTCTCTCCAAGACCAGGCAGCAGGTGTCAGCGAGCCTCCTGCAAGAGGTCGACAGAGAGTCTGCAGCTAGTATACCCCAGCCATGCCCGCAAGAGCCTCCATATCTAAGTAAGTGAGCCCACTCTGGCGAGTGTCTTACCTCAGGTGTAACATCTCAGGTATCTCATCAATATCTTTTAGTGTCTCAACAGGTGTTCATTCCTCATCGTTATCATTAATTTCCACTGGTGCTGCTAAGCGTTTTGGGGAGGAACAGTTTGTGATTCATTGTTTGATTGGGATCTAGAGTGTTGCTTCCTCTGTGTGATAGTTGGTTGACTAGCTCGTGGTGATGTTTCTCACGCGAACATTGGTACACTCAGATGGTGATAAGGAAACAACTCACAGTTTCACATAGTTTATTACTGTTCCAAAGATAACATCCTCTGGTCGTTGTCTTCTGATCTCTTGCATGTACTGAGATTCAATAAGTAGATGTAACCAAATACTTCTTAGACGTTCACAATCGTTATCACTCGTTACCTTGCGCTTCTGACCGATCAATCACATAACGCACAGGCGACGATTTGGCATGTCCAGCACTCTACTGACAATTTTCAGTCAGGCCGGGGGTCACTTTAATCTCTTCTGGTCAGGCATTCATCTTGAGAAATCAGACCTATTTCCACATCGTCGGGTACACTTCATAGCAGTCAGACCTTCACTCGTCGTGGGGTACACTTCATAGCAGTCAGACCTTCACTCGTCGTGGGGTAACACTTCATAACAGTCAGACCTTCATTCGTCGTGGGGTACACTTGATAACAGTCAGACCTTCACTCGTCGTGGGGTACACTTCATAGCAGTCAGGCCTTCACTCGTCGTGGGGTACACTTCATAGCAGTCAGACCTTCACTCGTCGTGGGGTACACTTGATAACAGTCAGACGCCTCTTGAACTCGACCAGTCACTCCAGCTGCCAAACATCAACTAAATCGATCTTGGTTTCGCCTCTCAAACCTCTCTCTTTTTGCCCCGCACTGTCTCTCTTTCACTACTCAGTTAAAAGCATAATTTTACGAGTTGTTTCTTTCTCGCGTCCTAGTTCCTTGACTCTACGTACCGATCTAGGTACCAGTTGGGAAATCACCTCATCACAGTATTAACGCTGGTGTAATTTCTTGTCGATATTGAAGGTCTTTAATGTCATCAGCCCATGTTTTCATAGGGCGACCTCTTGCTTTCACATCAGAGATTAGTACGTGTAGCTTCGGTGTTGGTGGTAGGTCTGGCTGCAACTAGCGAGACTACTTGAAATATATCTGAATGAATTTGATGCATGGTGTTCTTTCCATAGTGTGTATGATAGCACCATTTCTGCTTCAGGCATGCCATTTTACAAGTATTCATCTTAAGTAGGATAGGTTAGCCTTTGGTAAAGTCCAGGTTTTGGGCCCTGAAGGTGCAGTGTTTGGATCAGTATGTTGTTTATAATCTGTTTCTGTTGATCATAATAACAGAGCTGTACGTATTATGTTTGGTTGGCTAATTGGCCAGTGCAAAAAGATACGAAATGAAATTTTACTTCCAAAAAAAAAATTAAACAAAAAACTGGAAGCAATACAGAACAGCCATGTGTAGGATGTTTCTTTGAGGCGTATACAATTCAGATCAAGGCAGCCACTAGACTCCAGTGGAACACTTGCCACCCAAGAAAAAGTCATGAAGACCAACCAGCACTTTCACACACAAGCAACAGACCACTGAATTTCGACTGATCACAGCAGACTTCGAAACCGTATGTAGAAGAACTTAAAGATCGGGGACATAACTCTGTCCAGGTGGATGGGCGGCCTAGAATACTGAATGTCTTTCTGTGTGCAGTAGGAGGATCCCAAGCCTGGCCAGTTAATATCCCCATGTATGCCAAGCTGACGGCATAAAAGGATGAGATGCGTGGATACCACAGCTTCCACTGTGATCTCGTCATCTTTGGATGTTGAAAGTGGTATCTCAGCTTGCCCTGTAAGTCTGCCTTCAACACTGAGACAATTTTAGTCTAAATGTGTCAAAACTTGAGATCCTGTTGGTCTGCCATACAGATTGAGATCCTGTTGGTCTGCCATACAGATTGAGATCCTGTTGGTCTGCCATACAGATTGGGATCCTGTTGGTCTACCATACAGATTGAGATCCTGTTGGTCTACCATACAGATTGAGATCCTGTTGGTCTACCATGCAGATTGAGATCCTGTTGGTCTTCCATACAGATTGAGATCCTGTTGGTCTTCTATACAGATTGGGATCCTGTTGGTCTACCATACAGATTGAGATCCTGTTGGTCTTCCATACAGATTGAGATCCTGTTGGTCTGCCATACAGATTGGGATCCTGTTGGTCTTCCATACAGATTGAGATCCTGTTGGTCTACCATACAGATTGAGATCCTGTTGGTCTACCATGCAGATTGAGATCCTGTTGGTCTACCATACAGATTGAGATCCTGTTGGTCTTCCATACAGATTGAGATCCTGTTGGTCTGCCATACAGATTGAGATCTTGTTGGTCTGCCATACAGATTGAGATCCTGTTGGTCTGCCATACAGATTGAGATCCTGTTGGTCTACCATACAGATTGAGATCCTCTGATCAGAGGTTGTCAGTTTTTTTTTAGGCACACACACGCACGCACACATATACCCACACATACATACACACATATACATGCACATGCACACACGCACACATACGGAGAACGACAAGACAAAGAAGAAGAATATGAAATATGTCCAGTTAACCTGATGATTACCGTAGGTGTCATTAAACTATTTTCACACGATATATCCATGTTCGAGGGTTATTCTAAAATGAACCGTGTGCCCCAGCTAAACCGTGCATTGTTTTATTCGTTGGTCGTTTAATACACTACACAGCAACCTATACTTGCTGCTGAAGAATAGGACGGAGCGCTTAAAGAAGTGTATTGAGTGCTGTGATGTCGATTCCTAATTCAACATTTAACATTAAACAGCAACCTAGAGTAGGATTTGTTCAGTGGTTGACCAATCGCAAACAAATAAACATCACTAATGTGATCTCCCTTCTCTGTGAAATGTGCTGTTTGATTCGTTTTCTTTAAGTAGGTCAAAATGCCGCCGAAATTAATGGTCAGTTGTGTACCACGTGATAACGGTATGAGTGTCCGGTCTACGGCCGATTGGTGCCGGAAATTCGGAGAAGCCACAGAGATGTGCATGTTGAGGATGGAAAAGGATGACATTCGTGAGTGACAGATGAGGTCATTCAAAAAGTTGAACAAGTCACAGCAGAAAGGCGCCGTTTGACAATTGTAGGTCTTTCTACTTAGCATTTCACAAACTTCTACTGCTAGTCTGTTTCAAATTTTCACACAGACGTGTACTTCGCCACAAACTCTGTTCGCGGTCGGTACCAAGACACTAAATAAGGTTTTCACAAACCTTACAGAACTGGCTCGTCTTTGACGTTTTTTCCTCGACAGAAGAGTGACTAGGGACGATATACGGGTTAACTTTGCGAGCACAAAGACGAAGGAAGAGACAAAATAGTGGATGCATACTCATGCTCAACAAGCCCACAGAATTCTAGTAAACATTGTGGCAAAGAAAACTCAACCATACCATGTTTATTCGCTTGCGATTCATCAACCACTGAACAAATGATGTCTAGTGAGCAACGAGATTACTGAATGATGCAAGCAATGAACAGTGTCTCTGTGGCAAACAGTTTTTTATCGGGGGTTGATTTTGGAATAGCCTTCGTATCTGTCTACTTGATCTTCTCTGACTCACAGTTGGCGCATTAGAGTGTGACTGTGAGAAACTGACCCTGGATGAACTGCTCAATAAGCACCCAGATATAGAGCTTGGCGGTCGAATTAGGCCGTCTGACTGTCGAGCAGCACAGAGGACAGCAATCATCATACCTTTCAGGTAACAACTTGTTTGTTGTGGATGTCAACGTAGTTATTTCACCTGATCTTCGATAACGACTTTGAACGTCAAAAAACGAGAACATTTTCTTCACGAAATCATACGCATACACACACTCATACACAACCATAATACACTCCCATTTATACACACCCTCATTCACAACCATACATACACTCCCATTTATAAACACCCTCACACACAACCATACATACACTCCCATTTATACACACCCTCATTCACAACCATACATACATTCCCATTTATAAACACCCTCACACACAACCATACATACACTCCCATTTATACACACCCTCATTCACAACCATACATACACTCCCATTTATAAACACCCTCATTCACAACCATACATACACTCCCATTTATACACACCCTCATTCACAACCATACATACACTCCCATTTATAAACACCCTCACACACAACCATACATACACTCCCATTTATACACACCCTCATTCACAACCATACATACACTCCCATTTATACACACCCTCATTCACAACCATACATACATTCCCATTTATAAACACCCTCATTCACAACCATACATACACTCCCATTTATACACACCCTCATTCACAACCATACATACACTCCCATTTATAAACACCCTCACACACAACCATACATACACTCCCATTTATACACACCCTCATACACAACCATACATACACTCCCATTTATACACACCCTGATTCACTCTTATATAAACTCTCTCTTCAAAATACACGTGTTGATGCTCCTGTATGCTTACTTTCATTTACCATGCTTGCATACATAACGAACAAAACACATGCACACACACAGATATAGATAGATAGATAGATAGATAGATAGATAGATAGATAGATAGATAGATAGATAGATAGATAGATAGATAGATAGATAGATAGATAGATAGATAGATAGATAGATAGATAGATAGATAGATAGATAGATAGATAGATAGATAGATAGATAGATAGATAGATAGATAGATAGATAGATAGATAGATAGATAGATAGATAGATAGATAGATAGATAGATAGATAGATAGATAGATAGATAGATAGATAGATAGAGAGATAGCTAGCTAGCTAGCTAGCTAGATAGATAGATAGATAGATAGATAGATAGATAGATAGATAGATAGATAGATAGATAGATAGATAGATAGATAGATAGATAGATAGATAGATAGATAGATAGATAGATAGATAGATAGATAGATAGATAGATAGATAGATAGATAGATAGATAGATAGATAGATAGATAGATAGATAGATAGATAGATAGATAGATAGATAGATAGATAGATAGATAGATAGATAGATAGATAGATAGATAGATAGATAGATAGATAGATAGATAGATAGATAGATTAGATAGATAGATAGATAGATAGATCGATAGATAGATAGATAGATAGATAGATAGATAGATAGATAGATAGATAGATAGATAGATAGATAGATAGATAGATAGATAGATAGATAGATAGATAGATAGATAGATAGATAGATAGATAGATAGATAGATAGATAGATAGATAGATAGATAGATAGATAGATAGATAGATAGATAGATAGATAGATAGATAGATAGATATAGATAGATAGATAGATAGATAGATAGATAGATAGATAGATAGATAGATAGATAGATAGATAGATAGATAGATAGATAGATAGATAGATAGATAGATAGATAGATAGATAGATAGATAGATAGATAGATAGATAGATAGATAGATAGATAGATAGATAGATAGATAGATAGATAGATAGATAGATAGATAGATAGATAGATAGATAGATAGATAGATAGATAGATAGATAGATAGATAGATAGATAGATAGATAGATAGATAGATAGATAGATAGATAGATAGATAGATAGATAGATAGATAGATAGACAGACAGACAGACAGAGATAGATAGATTAGACATACACCCAGACATAATGAAAGACAGACATACAGACAGATGGACAGACGGACGGACAGACAGACAGACAGACAGACAGACCGACCGACAGACAGACAGACAGACAGACAGACAGACAGACAGACAGACAGACAGACAGACAGACAGACAGACAGACAGACAGACAGACAGACAGACAGACAGACAGACAGACAGACAGACAGACAGACAGACAGACAGACAGACAGACAGACAGACAGACAGACAGACAGACAGACAGACAGACAGACAGACAGACAGACAGACGGACGGACGGACGGACGGACGGACGGACGGACGGACAGACAGACAGACAGACAGACAGACAGACAGACGGACGGACGGACAGACGGATAGACAGACAGATGGAAGGACGGATAGACAGACGGATAAACAGGCGGATAGATGGATAGATGGGGGTGTGGACTGACGAACAGCCAGACAGACTGATGGGCAGACTGACTATAGACAAACCCTTAAATCTTCGACTGTCTTTTGGTCGATTCGATGATCTATAAACTAACTAAACTAACAAGAAGGTGTACTCTGTCATCCACAGGGATTGCCGAGAATGCTTGTATATCCTCATGAATATGCTAATCCCAATTCTAAAAAGACAGCATGCTGACGTCACAGTTTTTGTCATTGAACAGGTAGCTAACCATCATCTACACTGTTTTCGCTCATCATTGCAACCATCCATGCAACCATCCATGCAACCATCCATGCAACCATCCATGCAACCATCCAAGCAACCATCCATGCAACCATCCAAGCAACCATCCATGCAACCATCCATGCAACCATCCATGCAACCATCCATGCAACCATCCATGCAACCTTCCATGCAACCATCCATGCAACCACCCATGCAACCATCCACACAACCATCCACGCAACCATCCATGCAACCATCCATGCAACCATCCATGCAACCATCCAAGCAACCATCCATGCAACCATCCATGCAACCATCCATGCAACCATCCATGCAACCATCCATGCAAACATCCATGCAACCAACCATGCAACCATCCATGCAACCATCCATGCAACCATCCATGCAACCATCCATGCAACCATCCATGCAACCAACCATTCGTCTACCCAAACGTATATCCGTCCAATTATTCATTCAGCATTTATTCGATCTATCTAGCCAAGCATCCATCCATCGATCTCTTCACACATTTACTCAGTTATCTGTTCAGTCATCCAAAAATCAAATCATGTATCCATCTTACTATAGTTGCTCCCACCGCAACTGTCCCTATCCACCGTTATGTACGTATGTATGTATGTATGTATGTGTGTATGTATGTATGTATGTATGTATGTATGTATGTATGTATGTATGTATGTATGTATGTATGTATGTATGTATGTATGTATGTATGTATGTATGTATGTATGTATGTATGTATGTATGTATGTATGTATGTAGGTAGGTAGGTAGGTAGGTAGGTAGGTAGGTAGGTAGGTAGGTAGGTAGGTAGGTAGGTAGGTAGGTAGGTAGGTAGGTAGGTAGGTAGGTAGGTATGTATGCGGGCGGTCGGGCGGTCTGTCTGTCTGTCTGTCTGTCTCAATTCTGCCATATTTCTGTAGTAATAAAACACTTATTTTAAACAAAAACGGGTCTAAAAACAGTGTACAGTAAAATAAGCTTTTTACTAAAGAATTCAGTAGAAAATATGATATACAGGACCTCACTCGGGAACGCTGTTTTAGGGGCGTCATCAAATGGGGGTGGAGGCTCTGACAGCTTTTGTGTTTGTCTTCGCGGTGATCATAGTTTTCTACTGTTACATGAGGAATTGCTGTGTACATTAATGTTGAACCACATTATGTCAGCCAGCACTCACAAGCCCTTGGGAGCTGCCACGAGCGACGAATGGAACTAGTACATGAAATCTTCTGGGCACAGTGTGACACCAGCAGGAAGTGTGAAAGAATCAACGGCAAGAGAAGTTTGTACCTGGATGACAAATTCCTAGGGATCATGTGAAGACTCAAATCATTGTCAAGTTATTGAAGAAACGGGGCAGGTTGAACTGAGGATGAGACAGTAGACAAAGACAGTGATGTGTCTTATACATGGGATTGTCTGATGAACGGGAAAATACAGTAAATTGTCATATGATGAACATTTGTCTGTGGCAAGTTTGCCTAACTGTTAATCCTTACAATCTGTTTACGTCTATCTGATGTGCATCTACAGAGCTCGGAGTCTGAATTTAATAGAGCTGCTCTACAGAACGTCGGCTTTCTGGAGGCCAAGAAAACCGCCACCTTCGACTGTTTCATCTTTCACGACGTGGAGATGGTGCCTCTCAGTGACCACATCATGTACAGATGCGGGCCAGCGCCCAGTCACCTTGTGGCCAACATCCAACTGACCAATGGAAACCCCAAGTATGTGCTGGGCACGTCTTTTTCTGTCATTCTGTCATTCCTCAGCCATGCACCTCTCGTGCGGCTCTGGAGTAAACAAACAAGAACACAATGGGATTTGTGGTGGGAAGTGAAAAAGGGGGGGGGGGGGGTCAGGTAAACAAAAGTAGCATACGGACATATAGTTTGGTTATCCAGCTACTGAGTAGAGCGCGTGGCGCAAGACTGTGAGCTGCGGTTTGAATTTGGAATGTTTGTTGACTGTGTGCAAGCTGGTGTTTGTTGTGAACTGAAGATTCAGATAATGGCGAGTGGTCTGATACCAGAGGACTGGTGGTGCCTGATGCGATTTATCTGATGTGCGACTACTGATCTTTGGTAATCGCTGCATTCATTGGCAAATGAACTGGAATCATTGTGTCAGACAGCTTGAAGTAGCACTTCTGCCTTATGCATATTGCACGTGCATGTTATTGGATTTGCAAAGAGTGCAGTTTCTGTCTGTGCCAGGTTTTCATCGCACGGGAAACTGATGGAAATTCTGTGTGGTTTTCGTTGGCACAGACACGGGACAACTACTCTGGTGAGCTGTTTGCAGTTAATGTGGCACAGACACGGGGCAACAGACTCGGGTGAGCTGTTTGCTGTTAATGTGGCACGTCGATGACCTGACTAGAGTCTTATATAGAAATCAACAGCTCCTGAGTGCGGGTAAAAGCAGAAGTACAGATAAGATGGCATGTCACACAACATAACAGTAGACAGCTTTAGTTGCCATAAAACTTGCCTGAACTTGTCTTCACATCTCCTTTTTCCTCTTATTCGCGTTCACAAGCTGTTAACTCCGGCGAAAAGTTCTTATTGTTTGGCCATTTCAGTACTTTAATCTGGTTCCAGTTGGACAGATCTGGCTTACATGTAGACTCTTGATTGCTTACCTCTCGTGCAGATGCACGCCGACCTCGAAGGATACTCCCAGCTAGTCTTCTCCTACTACGACATGCTTGTTTTAGAGGCAGTGAGTCTATTCTGGTTTTCCCCTCAATGGGACCCGCCAACACACAGGGCGAGCATCCAACAATTACACGGGAACAAGTACATTTTATCTTATGAGCAACTCCACAATTAAAGTTTGTGTCATCACTGGCCAGGAATATGTATCATACACCACAATCAATAACAATAAAATATAAACAGAGTTCGTATTAAACCATTGAAATAACAAAAACTTTAACTTAAATTTTTATCATCTGAGCAAAGATCAATAAAAACATACTAACACTTGCAGACAGACATTTGTTCCGTCAGTTACACTAAACTGGATAGACATAAGAATTTGGGGGAATATTTAGGAACAAATACGCAACTTCACTGACAGATTCATGCATACATTCGTTCAGACCTGCACATTTTTACACACAGCGCATTTAGACAGACACATGGGAGATAGGACTGCTCTGTCAAAGGGCAGTCCTTTCGCCGCAGACATAAATTTGACATAACTAAACGGACACATACAAGGAACACAGTCTGAACAATCAGACATCAGGATTAGACAGACATTCTTTCGTACAGATATTTGTGAAGACCAGAAGAGTCAGCGATAGACAGTGAAAATCTGTCGTATAGACATCAGTCGAAAAAACTGAATCTATGAAATATAGGTCTGTATGTATAATGTGTACGTGTCAGTATGTTCGCGAGTATGTGTTTGTGCGTGTGTTTAGGTGTGTGTGCGTAACTGCATATGTGTGTGTGTGTGTGTGTGTGTGTGTGTGCGAGTGCGTTCCACCTTCAGTAAACCTGGCTGTCCACCTCACTTCAGAGCCACGTACGAGAATTACACCGGTGGAGTGACAGCCTTCACTGCACGCCAGTACCAGGCCATCAACGGCAACTCAAATCTGTATTTCGGCTGGGGTGGTGACGACGACGATTTGCATGACAGGTGATATAAATACACCTGTCTAACTACAAGCCTATCTATCTGCCGACCTACCTGTCTACGTACCTGCTACATATCTGTCTACCTACCTACCTGTCAGTCTATGTACCTGCTACATGTCTGTCTAACTGCTTACCTGTCAGTATATGTACCTGCTACATGTCTGTCTAATTGCTTACCTGTCAGTCTATGTACCTGCTACATGTCTGTCTAACTGCTTACCTGTCAGTCTATGTACCTGCTACATGTCTGTCTAACTGCTTACCTGTCAGTCTATGTACCTGCTACATGTCTGTCTATCTCCTTACCTGTCAGTCTATGTACCTGCTACATGCCTATCTACCTACCTACCTAACTGTCAGTCTATGTACCTGCTACATGTCTGTCTAACTGCTTACCTGTCAGTCTATGTACCTGCTACATGTCTGTCTACCTACCTTCCTGTCAGTCTATGTACCTGCTACATGCCTGTCTACCTCCTCACCTGTCAGTCTATGTACCTGCTACATGCCTATCTACCTACCTACCTACCTGTCAGTCTATGTACCTGCTACATGTCTGTCTACCTACCTTCCTGTTAGTCTATGTACCTGCTACATGTCTGTCTGCCTGCTTACCTGTCAGTCTATGTACCTGCTACATGTCTGTCTACCTACCTTCCTGTCAGTCTATGTACCTGCTACATGTCTGTCTGCCTGCTTACCTGTCAGTCTATGTACCTGCTACATGTCTGTCTACCTGTTTAACTGACTTCTTACTTGTCTAGCTACTTCTATTCCTAACTGCCTACCTGTCTTACTGTCTATCTACTTATCTGCCCGCCTTTCTGTCAACTTCATACATAGAATCAGGTGGAGAGTAGAAATAATGGAGCGAGTAAGCATCAACAGAATGTGTGGCGAGCTGAAGGAACTGGTTCAATACATGGGATGGCAGCAATGGTCCTGATATCTCCAGTTCTAATTCTTTAAGACGTTTCCCAAAGCGAGCGGATCTTGCTTGTCACACTCGACATGGCGACAGTACGTGATTCACAGGTCGTTCTGTAGCACAAAATAACATAGTTGTCTCCAGAAACAGAAAGGTGTAAACGATGTACTTAACTATTCAACTGTCTACCTTTCAGTTTATTGACCTACCAAACTACGCCCACTTGATACTGGTCCCAGTATTCGTTGATTGTATGTTTATGTTGCTTTTATGTGTACATTTGCATTAATTATCTATTGTTTCCATGAAAACATTAATTGTGCATCTATACTGACATTGGGTATATGTAGATGGTATATTGTGTGTCCTGATAATGTTCAGTAAATCTGAGGTAAATTGTCGCGTTACATGAAAGACTGGCTTGAGAAATCAACATAGGGTGTGCAAAAGTAAAACGTGTACTAGGACAAATAACACCATTTCTGACACATAGAAATGATACATTCACCAGCCATAGCAAATGTTCTAATTATTGTTGGCTTGTTTTATGCAACCAGTGTCAATCATGGATGCGTTTCCTGCAGCCAATAAATTGTGAACCAAAACAGTTGCCAGACTAACAAGGAGAGAGAATTGACAATACAGAAGCACTAGAAGAAAACTTGGACTGAAACCAGTCACACAAATACAGAACAACAGATGGTTCGGCCATCTACCACAAAACACAGAACAACAGATGGTTCGGCCATCTACCACAAAACACAGAACATCAGATGGTTCGGCCATCTACCACAAAACACAGAACAACAGATGGTTCGGCCATCTACCACAAAACACAGAACATCAGATGGTTCGGCCATCTACCGAGACTGGGAATGAAACCAGTCACACAAATACAGAACAACAGATGGTTCGGCCATCAACAAGATTGCCACAGAAAGCCACGCTGGAGAAATATAAGGGACAGAGAGCGGGGAAAGGATGCGCAAATGAGGGAACGTCTACATCGAGAAACGTCTTCAGGAAATGATCTTCTACATCAACTAGCACACATAAGATGCTCCCATGTGGCCAAACCCTTGGCTTGGGTAACTGAAGGAAGAGCAAGACGACGAAGATAAATAATGATGAGGAGGATGGAACAAGAGAAGGCAGGAGAGGAGAAGAACAATAACAAACAAAACATGAAGAACAAGAATAAAAAGAGCACACTAATGGTGATGACGATGATGATATTACATATATAGGCACACTAACTGTATGTTCCTGTAATTGGTGTACTGAAGTTAAGGATATTACACGTGTAAGGACACTAACCGTACATTCCTGTAATTGATTTACTGAATTTGAGGATATAACATGTGTATGGAGACTAACTGTACATTCCTCTAATTGGTGTACTGAAGTTGATGGTATTACATGTGTAGGGACACTAACTGTACATTCCTGTAATTGGTTTACTGAAGTTGATGATATTTCATGTGTAGGCACACTAACTGTACGTCCCTGTAATTAGTGTACTAAAGTTGATGATATTACATGTGTAGGGATACTAACTGTACATTCCTCTAATTGGTGTACTGAAGTTGATGGTATTACATGTGTAGGGACACTAACTGTACATTCCTCTAATTGGTGTACTGAAGTTGATGATATTACATGTGTAGGGACACTAACTGAACGTTCCTCTAATTGGTGTACTAAAGTTGATGGTATTACATGTGTAGGGACACTAACTGAACGTTCCTCTAATTGGTGTACTAAAGTTGATGGTATTACATGTGTAGGGACACTAACTGAACGTTCCTCTAATTGGTTTACTGAAGTTGATGGTATTACATGTGTAGGGACACTAACTGTACATTCCTCTAATTGGTGTACTGAAATTGATGGTATTACATGTGTAGGGACACTAACTGTACATTCCTCTAATTGGTGTACTGAAGTTGATGATATTACATGTGTAGGGACACTAACTGAACGTTCCTGTAATCGGTGTCCTGTAGTTGATGATTGACAGCAGACTGACTGTGTTACAGAATAGTCCACAAACAGATGACCATCCGGCGGACAGACTCGAATCTTGGCAGCTACAGAATGTTGACTGAACAACCTCAGAAGAGCAAAGCGGCAAACCCACACAGGTGGGTTCATGGGTGAACATGATGGGTGTGGTCTGGTGAGAAGACCGCAAGATGGATGACTTCTGCTAGAGACGATAAGTCTTGGTGCATACATTCGGGGCCATGCGGATGGGTTTGTTGAAGGTTACATAGGCGTGTGGATGGGTTTGTTAAAGGTTATATATGCGTGTGGATGGGTTTGTTAAAGGTTATATATGCGTGTGGATAGGTTTGTTAAAGGTTATATATGCGTGTGGATGGGTTTGTTAAAGGTTATATATGCGTGTAGATGGGTTTGTTAAAGGTTACATAGGGGTGTGAATGGGTTTGTTGAAGGTTACATAGGCGTGTGGATTGATTTGTTAAAGGTTACATATGCGAGTGGATGAGTTTGTTAAAGGTTAAATAGGCGTGTGGATGGGTTTGTTGAAGGTTACATAGGCGTGTGGGTGGATTTGTTAAAGGTTACATAGGCGTGTAGATGAGTTTGTTGAAGGTTAAATAGGCGTGTGGAAGGGTTTGTTAAAGGTTACATATGCGTGTGGATGGGTTTGTTGAAGGCTACATAGGCGTGTGGATGGGTTTGTTGAAGGTTACATATGCGTGTGGATGGGTTTGTTAAAGGTTACATAGGCGTGTGGATGGGTTTGTTGAAGGTTACATAGGCGTGTGGATGGGTTTGTTGAAGGTTACATATGCGTGTGGATGGGTTTGTTGAAGGTTACATATGCGTGTGGATGGGTTTGTTAAAGGTTACATATGCGTGTGGATGGGTTTGTTGAAGGTTACATATGCGTGTGGATGGGTTTGTTGAAGGTTACATATGCGTGTGGATGGGTTTTTTAAAGGTTACATATGCGTGTGGATGGGTTTGTTGAAGGTTACATAGGCGTGTGGATGGGTTTGTTGAAGGTTACATATGCGTGTGGATGGGTTTGTTAAAGGTTACATAGGCGTGTGGATGGGTTTGTTGAAGGTTACATATGCGTGTGGATGGGTTTGTTAAAGGTTACATAGGCGTGTGGATGGGTTTGTTGAAGGTTACATATGCGTGTGGATGGGTTTGTTGAAGTTTACATAGGCGTGTGGATTGATTTGTTAAAGGTTACATAGGCGCGTGGATGAGTTTGTTAAAGGTTACATGGGCGTGTGGATGGGTTTGTTGAAGGTTACGTAGACGTGTGGATTGATTTGTTAAAGGTTACATAGGCGTGTGGATGGGTTTGTTAAAGGTTACATATGCGTGTGGATGGGTTTGTTAAAGGTTATATATGCGTGTGGATGGGTTTGTTGAAGGTTACATAGGCGTGTGGATGGGTTTGTTAAAGGTTACATATGCGTGTGGATGGGTTTGTTAAAGGTTACATATGCGTGTGGATGAGTTTGTTAAAGGTTACATGTGCGTGTGGGTGGGTTTGTTAAAGGTTACATAGGCGTGTGGATGAGTTTGTTAAAGGTTACATATGCGTGTGGATGGGTTTGTTAAAGGTTACATTGGCGTGTGGATGAGTTTGTTAAAGGCTACATAGGCGTGTGGATGGGTTTGTTAAAGGTTACATAGGCGTGTGGATGGGTTTGTTAAAGGTTAAATAGGCGTGTGGATGGGTTTGTTAAAGGTTACATAGGCGTGTGGATGAGTTTGTTAAATGTTACATAGGCGTGTGGATGGGTTTGTTAAAGGTTACATAGGCGTGTGGATGGGTTTGTTAAAGGTTACATAGGCGTGTGGATGAGTTTGTTAAAGGCTACATAGGCGTGTGGATGGGTTTGTTAAAGGTTACATAGGCGTGTGGATGGATTTGTTAAAGGTTACATAGGCGTGTAGATGAGTTTGTTGAAGATTAAATAGGCGTGTGGAAGGGTTTGTTAAAGGTTACATATGCGCGTGGATGAGTTTGTTAAAGGTTACATATGCGTGTGGATGGGTTTGTTAAAGGTTACATATGCGTGTGGATGAGTTTGTTAAAGGTTACATAGGCATGCGTATGGGTCTATTGGTGACTATGTGGATTACTATGTGTGTGTGGATATAAAGGGTTGTCAATGAGTGTGTCGATGGATATATGGATGTTTTGATGGATTTTTACTGGGTGAGATTGTTGGTGGATTCATTTATTGGTGGCTGTGTGGAGGTTCGGAGGTATTTATTTATGGCTGTGTGGAGGCGTGGGTGGTTTATTTGGTGCATGTGTTGAGGTGTAGATGGGCTTATAACTTATGGGGTCCGTTCTGACCCTGAGAACATTAGAGAAGATCGCAGCCTAAATGGGAACCATTGTCGCTGTCGTTCCATAACCTGGACACGGTGTCCCTGAATGTGATGCTTTATTCCTGCATGTTAGAGCTGTATTGAAGAAATGCAATGTCTGATCGTGGATCAATGTGGTAATTCTTTTCCAGATTCCAACTCCTCAAGTCAGCTACAAAACGACAGGACGTCGAAGGGCTAAACACCTGCAAGTATAAGGTCAACCGTGTCAAACGGCAACAGCTGTTCACCTGGATCAGCGTCTCATTAAACAAAACCCAGGTATTCATGGTAAGTCGGAGTGTGTCCCCGAGACAGTGTTGATGGTAAGTCGAAGTGTGTCCCTGAGACGGTGTTGATGGTAAGTCGGAGTGTGCCCCTGAGACAGTGTTGATGGTAAGTCTGAGTGTGTCCCTGAGACGGTGTTGATGGTAAGTCGGAGTGTGTCCCTGAGACAGTGTTGATGGTAAGTCGGAGTGTGTCCCTGAGACAGTATTGATGGTAAGTCGGAGTGTGTCCCTGAGACAGTGTTGATGGTAAGTCTGAGTGTGTCCCTGAGACAGTGTTGATGGTAAGTTGGTGTGTCCCCGAGACAGTGTTGATGGTACGTTGGTGTGTCCCGAGACAGTGTTGATGGTAAGTTGGTGGGTCCCTGAGACAGTGTTGATGGTAAGTTGGAGTGTGTCCCTGAGACAGTGTTGATGGTAAGTTGGTGTGTGTCCCCGAGACAGTGTTGATCGTAAATTGGTGTGTCCCCGAGACAGTGTTGATGGTAAGTTGGTGTGTGTCCCTGAGACAGTGTTGATGGTAAGTTGGTGTGTGTCCCCGAGACAGTGTTGATCGTAAATTGGTGTGTCCCCGAGACAGTGTTGATGGTAAGTCTGAGTGTGTCCCTGAGACGGTGTTGATGGTAAGTTGGTGTGTGTCCCCCAGACAGTGTTGATGGTAAGTTGGTCTGGCTTGTGTGTCCCTGAGACAGTGTTGATGGTAAGTTGGTGTGTGTCCCTGAGACAGTGTTGATGGTAAGTTGGTGTGTGTCCCTGAGACAGTGTTGATGGTAAGTTGGTGTGTGTCCCTGAGACAGTGTTGATGGTAAGTCTGAGTGTGTCCCTGAGACAGTGTTGATGGTAAGTCTGAGTGTGTCCCTGAGACGGTGTTGATGGTAAGTTGGTGTGTGTCCCCGAGACAGTGTTGATGGTAAGTCGGTGTGTGTCTCCGAGACAGTGTTGATGGTAAGTTGGTGTGTCCCCCGAGACAGTGTTGATGGTAAGTTGGTGTGTCCCCGAGACAGTGTTGATGGTAAGTTGGTGTGTCCCTGAGACAGTGTTGATGGTAAGTTGGAGTGTGTCCCTGAGACAGTGTTGATGGTAAGTTGGTGTGTGTCCCCGAGACAGTGTTGATCGTAAATTGGTGTGTCCCCGAGACAGTGTTGATGGTAAGTTGGTGTGTGTCCCTGAGACAGTGTTGATGGTAAGTTGGTGTGTGTCCCCGAGACAGTGTTGATCGTAAATTGGTGTGTCCCCGAGACAGTGTTGATGGTAAGTCTGAGTGTGTCCCTGAGACGGTGTTGATGGTAAGTTGGTGTGTGTCCCCCAGACAGTGTTGATGGTAAGTTGGTGTGTGTCCCTGAGACAGTGTTGATGGTAAGTTGGTGTGTGTCCCTGAGACAGTGTTGATGGTAAGTTGGTGTGTGTCCCTGAGACAGTGTTGATGGTAAGTTGGTGTGTGTCCCTGAGACAGTGTTGATGGTAAGTCTGAGTGTGTCCCTGAGACAGTGTTGATGGTAAGTCTGAGTGTGTCCCTGAGACGGTGTTGATGGTAAGTCTGAGTGTGTCCCTGAGACGGTGTTGATGGTAAGTTGGTGTGTGTCCCTGAGACGGTGTTGATGGTAAGTTGGTGTGTGTCCCTGAGACGGTGTTGATGGTAAGTTGGTGTGTGTCCCCGAGACGGTGTTGATGGTAAGTCTGAGTGTGTCCCTGAGACGGTGTTGATGGTAAGTTGGTGTGTGTCCCCGAGACAGTGTTGATGGTAAGTTGGTGTTTGTCTCCGAGACAGTGTTGATGGTAAGTTGGTGTGTGTCCCTGAGACAGTGTTGATGGTAAGTTGGTGTGTCTCCGAGACAGTGTTGATGGTAAGTCTGAGTGTGTCCCCGAGCGTTATAAGGAGTTGAAGAAGGATATCTTTCGAGAATCAGTGAATGTAACACCCTTATTTCTAGTGCTGCTATTGGCTGCTTGACTGGGTGTGTACGAGAGACGGTCAGTATCTGAACAGTCTTCTCTCCACACACAATTAGTTGCATGTCTCACCCACACACAATTAGTTGCATGTCTCACCCACACACAATTAGTTGCATGTCTCACCCACACACAATTAGTTGCATGTCTCACCCACACACAATTAGTTGCATGTCTCACCCACACACAATTGGTTGCATGTCTCACCCACACACAATTGGTTGCATGTCTCACACTGAACTGAAGTTCATGGTCCATTGTTTCCGAGATAACCAAATGATTGTGTTACTTTCAGACGGCGCTAGACTATGTGTCTCCAGAATTGGACCTTGATCTCGAGGCGAGGGTCCAACAATAAAGAACCAAGATTACAAACTGCTTGATGTTTGCATTTGCCATCCATGCTTTTGTATTTTTACTTGACATTCACACTTTGTGTTTTAAAATTTGAACCTAATATGCTTGATATACAAAATGCAGTTGTGAAAAATAAATACTTGAAAGCGTGCAATGTTAAACAATCCTGCGTGCTCAATGTATCACCTTTGTCTA